AAAGGGTACCGGCACATCCCTGTGCTCCCGTGGTCCAGCGATGCAGCTAGGAGCCACGTGGTGCTTGGGCAGTGCAGGGGTAGGAAGACAAGGAAATAGCTGGGGGTGGGGTGGGGCTGGGCTGCTCAGTCCTGACAGCTCCCCCTGGGTCCTGCTGCCTCTGGCTCCTGTCATCTTTGACAGGCAGCCAGGAACAAATAAATATTCATTTACTAAATTCTTTAGGGGGCCTGCAGGCCTGATAAAATGGCCTGGTGGGCCATATCTTGCCCACCCCTGCAATAAAGGCTCAGGACAGTTTACAGTAAAAGAACAAAATAACTTATAAAACAGAAAAATAAACTAGAGAACAAAGCAAGAGAACAAAACAAAAGCTCAGAGAGTACCAAAAAACCCCAGAAATGTCCCAAACAATCTCACAGCATAGCTATGAGAATTCTTATTGCCATGAGAATTTCTGTTATTAAAGTCTCTACAGTTTCTGTTAGAACCTCAAATATAACAGGCTAAATACAGACAGACAAAAAGCTCAAGGATGAATCAATTCAGTTTTCATGGGTTAGTCCAAGCTGTGTAGATTAAATAGATAAACAAATGAACAGACATTCACTTTTGATTCTGCAAATGTAGCCATGCACCTGCAGCAGCCCAGACCAGAAGCTGGGGGATGCTAGAGAACACCTCCCTGCTCAGCTGAAGCAAACAGCTTTGGCCAAGGCTAGCCCACTCACCCTGCAAGGGGGAAGGGGGGAGTTTGCAGGGGTGGTGCAAAGCACCCTGGGATGCTGGGGGACTGAGAGTTAAACTTGAATCTGAAGGGGATCTGAGACAATAGTTCAATAAACCAATTTAACCTAAATCAGTTAAGTCTGACACTAGATCCATTCAGATTTATTTTAAACCGGCTTCAGCCATTTTGAAAGCTGTTTAAGTGCATTGAATTTTTGCTGAGTTACAGATTTGAACCAGTTTCTGATCGTTTATATCAATTTATGTGTAATTTCTATCCCTGGCCATATAGTATATATGAATATTAATACTTCCAAGGCTTAATGTGACTGACAGAAGCAGTAATGCCTTTGTACAAGACACTAGTAAGACTTTATCTGGAAGACTGGTCACTCATGTTCAAAAATGACAAACTCATACTGAACAGGTGCACAGAAGGGCTAGTAGGGAAAAGCACAGAATTGGGAACCTATTGTAAGAGAGAATACTAAGAGAGCTTGACTTGTTCAGCCCAGGAAAATGAAAACTGAGTAGGGATCTAACTACTTTGTAAAAGGGCAAACAGAGAGAGAAGAACTATTTAATTTAAAAGACAATGCTAGCATAAGACCAAATGGGTATAAACTGGCCACAAATTAATTTAAACTGTATTTAAAAGAAAGGTTCCAGACCTCACTGCACCAGGTGTGAGAAAAATATTCCAATTTATCACAGCGCGGGGTCCTGCAGAAGGGCCGTGATCTCGTCAAGGCCCCCTTCCCATGCCAAGCTGGCCCAAAGGGCACCCTCACTCCACGCCTGCCACGTCTTTGATGGAGATTAAATGTATGGAGGCTGCCTTACATCCTCTTGGACACGGGTTGCTGTAATATCTGCCCCGTGGACTCCCGGACCCCTTGTGGGTCCCGCTCAGCAATGGGTGCTTCAGAGGCACCCTAGCCTTATGGGCTATGCGTGGCTCCAACCACCCCTTTACCATGCCCCAAGCCTTGCAGCTGGAATAGACGTTGTTCGGTCCAGGTCTACACCCTCTCTCTGGTGCTCAGGCTTTCCGCGGCCCCGTCTCTCTCCGCCCCCTCCTCCGGGGCTCCTCAGCAAGGCTGCCCCCCTCCTCTGGGGCTCCTCAGCAAGGCTGCCCCCCTCCTCCGGGGCTCACCACACCTGCACTGGGGCTTCTCAGCAACACCCCCTTTCTGGGGCTTCTCAACTGCCCCTCTCTGGGGCTGGGGTCAGTGCACCCCGAATGCTGCGCCCTCACTGGCGCTGGGGTCCCCACACTGCTTTGGGTCCCCTATGAGGCCTCCTCCAACCCCTGGTAGCCTCACCCAAACCACCGGTGACAAACAGCAACACAAATGAAAGCCCCTTGGCTATAACATAAAGTGAAGCTGCCTGGCTCTAACCAAGTTCAAGCCTACCGGGGATACTTCATCTCGAAGCAGTGTCAGACACTGCTCCTGCATCAGGCTTCTCCTCTCTTCCATGACAGAGCTCCTTCCCCCTTGGCTGTTGGCAGGGAACTGCCTCTGGCCTCAGCCCCCAGGGTTTATAAGGGAGCCAAGCCCTGCCTCTTTCAGTCAGCTGACCGCTGGCAGGTGTGATCTCTCACTAGCTCCAGTCGCCCTGGCAACCAACAGCTGGGCTCCTTGTTCACTGCTAGGGCTCTTTCCCAAGCAGTTTACCCTCTTTAGGAGCAGGGCACCTCAGTGCTCTGTGACAATTGTTGGCAAAAAGCCAACCTAATTTTAAGTTGGCGCTTAGTCAGTCTATGAAAAGACTTAGAAAATGTAGCTGCCAACAATATCAGGCGACAGGGTATGGTAACCCAGGAAGTCTTCTTTATCATACGAGTCTACAAACCCAAAGTTCACTTGTGTTAAACCACCACAGTATTTTTCAAATTATGTAATGTAATATTATAGGCTATTTTAATATTATTTTACTGCAAGTTAAATGAATTTTAAAAATGCACACAGTACATCATTTCAAAAAGTAAATAAACATTTCTAAATCCAAGAAATAAATATGCAGCTTCCTTGACTCCCTTCTCTCAGAGTGTATGAATTACAATTTGATCTTTTAATAAATACATGGTTTTTATATACACTGTCAATTCATATCACACCATGTTTTCCTAAGGAAAGGTATTTAACATCTTCTACTGAAAAACAAAAAAATAATTTAGAACAAGGTGTTCATATATCATGCTGACAGGAATTTTGTTTTACTACAAAAGACTACACAACAAAATTTTACCAAAAGTCACAGTAAGATATTATGTTTCCATCCACACCTATTTTGGTATGCTAGTTATTCAAAAAGTACTTTTTAAGAACTCTTTTTTTTATGATAAGAAAGTTTCTTTCCCTTACTTTCTCCTCACACTTGAAAAAATGCCTTATTACTGAAATTCAGATATTTTCTCTTGCATTTTCTTACTTAAAATACTTCCCAGTCCAACTTTAGCATGTCATTAAATGCATTTTTCTCTACATTTACTATGCTAGGGCTTTTTTAAAAGGAAAAAACAAGTAAAGTGAAATACAAACAAGAGAACCTTCAGTCTTCAATAGCTTCAGGCTCTGCTGTCCTGGTCAAGCAAGTCCCACCTCCCTTAACCTAGTACCATACAACCCCATTAACTAAGAGTCTCAAGAGAATCGCTCAGTGAGAGACAAGGGTCTGAAGACTCTGCTAAGGCAGCTAGCTTTCCAAAAGCTCGTCAACATTGGAACCATTTCTGGTATCAAGGCTTTTTTTTTTCCCCTACTCAATGAAAGAAATACTAACATACCTAATGGCTGAAAACTAATTTTGACTCGGCTATACCAAATGTGCCGGAGCTTCTTCAATTCTTCTTTATCATGAAGTGGAAAAAATTGAATTAGGATGCCATTGGTCAACAATCTTCTCACTGAAAAGAAAAGGAAAAAACATGCATCTATTGCTCCTGCAAAGTCACATTAAAGTTGGTGCTTGCATTGGATTACATTATAGCTAGCAAACTTAAATTTCCTTTGAAAGAAAAAACTCTAATCTAATTTACAATTTAATCCCTCGATATTCACATCCTTACATGCTAATTTAATAATATATTATATAATGTAGGGAGTGAAAGCACAAATGGCACTCCAAAGACCTGGGCTCAATTGCCGTCTATGAGAGAAGAAGAGTCTGTTGGTATCCACAAGCCAGCATTTTATTCAAGTAAGGCTTGAACAGCAGATCAAAACTGAAATACACCCAAGTCGGGAAATTTTGACAAACCTGCTACTGCACCAGAATGGAACAGCTAAAATTACAGATTGCTTAGGGTTTGTCTGCACTACAAGCTTTCTGTTGGCAAACAGCTGTTGCCACAAGTAGGCTATCAAAGCATGCCCCTACCAATGCAGGGCTAGCAGAAGACGCACAGCTCATCCACAATAGCTGTACCAGAGGGCACACAAACACACCCTAACAGGCACCAGCTGTTAAGAGACCAGCTTTCAACAGATAGCACAGACACACCTACCTGGGTTTTCTGGAAAATTCCAAGTAGTAACAAAAGTAGAGGCACACGGATACATCGGTCCAATATTGGACTGGCACCGATATGAAGAAAACTGATTGCATCAGAAATCGGCTTTGTGTGGCCAATAATTTGCCTAATAAATGCCCATGCATGCACGCACTCAGTGAGAAGTACAGCCCAGCAGTTTGGAGAGCTGCATGCAGCTGGTAAGTCTGTTGTGGTGGAAGAGAAGGGGGAAGGGAAGAGGCATGGGGCTGCAAACCAATGCCCCCCACAGTGAGGGAGGGAGTGGGGCAGGGGCTGGGGCAGGCGCTGCCCAGCCAGAGTGGGGAACAGAGCCGTGGCTCTTCCCAGCACAGGGGGGGAGGAGGTGGGGGTTGGGCCAAGGAAGCACTCGGAGCAAGCAGTGCTGGGAGTTGGGGCTGCGGGGGAGGGGGGGG